TGTGTCCAGGGTAACAGAGGCTTCCCTGCCGAACAAGAGGAAAAATGGTGAAAAGTTGGTGGTGGCTTGGATGCTAGTATTGTAGGCGAAAGTTATGAATGGCAGAACCTTGTCCCAGTTGGTTTGGTTGGCGTCGGTATACATGGCGAGCATGTCGAGAAGGGTTCTATTGAGTCTTTCAGTTAACCCGTTTGTCTGTGGATGATATGCAGTGGTTGTAGAATGAATGGTATTGCAAGCTGCGAGAAGTCCTTGAACTAGAGCGGAAAGAAATACCCGACCGCGATCGCTGAGCAGTGTGTGTGGTGCGCCATGGCGGAGCAGTATATTGGTAAGAAAGAAGGTTGCCACATCTTCTGCGGTCGCAGTTGGGAGGGCGGATGTCTCAGCATATCGGGTGAGATGGTCGATTGCAACTACAACCCAGCGATTTCCAGAAGATGAAGTGTGCAAAGGTCCGATCAGGTCAATTCCAACTCGTTCGAAGGGTCGCGAGGGACAGGGTAAGGGCTGTAATAGTCCAGATGGCGCTTGCGTGGGACGCTTTCGTCTTTGGCACTCAGCGCATGCTTGCACGTAGCGCTGCACGCTGCGATAGAGTCCGGGCCAGAAGTATCGCTGGGAGATTCGAGTGTAGGTTTTTGCGAAGCCGGCATGTCCACATGTTGCGTCTGAATGCATGGAATTCAGTACTTCGCCGCGAAGGTGTTGGGGTATGTAAAGTAACCAACGTTGGCCATGAGGCAGGTAACTGCGTCGGTATACAAGACTGTCCCGTAGACAAAAATGCCGAACTTTTCTTGAAAACGCGCGGTCCGTAGATTTTTGAGATCCGTTCAGGTGATTGATAATTTGAGTGATACGGGGATCTGACGCTTGATGGCGGGCCATATTTGTTAGGCTTAACGATTGAAGACAAAGAGGATCCTCATCAAATAAGGTGTTTGGTGACTCTTCGGGAAGAGGACAACGGGATAAGCCGTCCGCGTCACCATGCTTCTTGCCGGACTTGTAGCGAACTGTGTAGTCGAACTCTTGGAGACGTAGCGTCCACCGTCCAAGACGGCCAGATGGGTCTTTCAGTGACGCTAGCCAACAAAGAGCATGGTGATCGGTGACCACGACAAAATGGCGGCCGTACAAGTATGGTCTAAATTTCCCGATGGCCCACACGATGGCAAGACCTTCTTTTTCTGTTGTGGAGTAGTTTCTTTCTGCTTTTGTGAGCGTACGACTGGCGTATGCAACAACGTAGCTGGTGTATCCTTCTTTCTTTTGAGTGAGAACAGCTCCCAAACCGAATCCACTAGCGTCGGTGTGGAGCTCTATGGGTGCGGAACTATCGAAGTGGCGTAGTATGGGGTCAGAAGTTAATAAATGTTTTAGTTTCTCGAAAGATTGCTCGCACTCTGAAGACCAGCTAAAGGTAGTGTTCTTGTTAAGGAGGCGGTAAAGGGGTTCGGCGAGGCAGGCAAATCCGCGAACAAACCTCTGAAAATATGAACAAAGTCCTAGAAAGCTACGAACGTCTTTAACACTTTGTGGATGTGGGAAATGTGAGACTGCTCGGATTTTATCCGGATCTGGTTGGATTCCTTCCTTGGAGACGATGTGACCAAGAACTCGAATGGATCTGCTCGCAAAGCGGCATTTCTTCGTGTTTAGTTGCAATCCCGCTTTAGACAGAGCTGAAAGAATGTTATCTAGACGGCGGAGGTGTTCTTCAAACGTTTGAGAAAATACTACGACATCATCTAGATAGCACAAACAAACTTTCCATTTTAGTCCACGAAGTACATTATCCATCATGCGCTCGAAGGTAGCGGGGGCATTGCATAATCCGAAAGGCATGACATTATATTCAAACAATCCGTCTGGCGTAACAAATGCTGTTTTGTCTTTGGAAGATTCGGCCATGGGAACCTGCCAGTACCCGGATCGAAGGTCGATGGAGGAAAAGTAGTTCGAGCCCTGAAGACAGTCCAATGCATCGTCGATACGCGGCATTGGATAGACATCTTTCTGTGTTATTTTGTTTAGGCGACGAAAATCTATACAGAAACGGACTGTGCCATCTTTCTTTTTTACTAACACCACTGGCGAAGCCCATGAGCTACAAGAGGGACGTATAACACCTTTCTCAAGCATTTCATTTACCTGCTCATCAATTAAATTTCGTTCAGCTGAAGACACCCTGTAAGGTCGTTGCCGTTGAGGGAGAGAGTCACCAACATTTATGTTGTGCTCTGTAGATGTCACGCGGCCGAGTGAAGGGGAATTAACATCAAAACAGTGTGCGTAGTGTTGGAGTAGAGCCAACAGGCTTTCTTTCTTTGATACCTCGAGGTTAGCATCGAGCGAGTCAGCGAGGAGAGGGTGAATGGACTGACCAGGAGATCGGCACGTGATTTGAGTGGGGTTAGGGCTCGGCGTATCGAGGGACATAAGCTCACATTCGTCATATACTGAGACTATTCCTAGGGTGGAGCCTTGAGGGAGAAACAAAGATGTAGAAGATGGGTTAATCCCAACAAGAGAAGCAAACCCGTTGAGGAACGTCGTTACACAATGCGGTACCACGATACCACTTTTGAGAAAGTTTGCTTGCGACGGACTAATGAGGGCAGTACAATTAACACAGTCGGGAGATGTGACACTCATTATGACGGAGGAGCATGGGGGGATTACGGTATCCTCAAAAAGGGAGAGTTTTGCATCTGGAGGGAGCTCACAAACATCGGATGGACCTACTTCTGATAGTTCAACCTCGCCATACGAGCAATCTATACATGCATCAGCAAGGGTCAAAAAATCCCATCCAAGTATAATTTCGTGTGAACAGGAAGGAAGCACGACGAGTTCAACCACATGAATTATCTGATCTATACAAATACGCGCAGTACATATTGCCGTCGGAATTAAATTCTGCTTACCAGCTGTAAGAAGGGTATATCCCGAAAATGGTGTTGTCACTTTCCGTAGCCGTCGACAGAGATCAGACCGTACTACTGAAACTGCAGCTCCTGTGTCTACCAACGCCTTGACCGATATACCTTCCACATTAACATCAATCAGATTTCGCGGGTTATGAGGGCTTCCGAGATGTGATGCAGCTGCAACTCTTGCCTCATGAGTTGCAGTTAGCAGTTTCCCCCATGCGTGGGATTGCTGCCGCGAGAGATCATGGGAGATGGAGATCGACGGCGCGGTGATGGGGAGCGGCTTGTCATCCTGGGACGATCGTTTCTTTCGTGTCGAGGGGCGGACATCTCGTAGTTGTCGCGACGTTCGGGTTCCATCGAAGGATATCGGCCGTTGTAGGGTTCTTCATATCTTGTTGAGTTCACGTGCAAAGGACGGTATCCTGGAGAATGGCGGCGGCAATATCGGGCGATATGTCCAGCAATGCCACAGTTGAAGCAAATCGGACGACCGTCCTGAGCCCTCCAGTACCCTGGCTGGGCGCTGACTGGAGGCTGAAGTGAGGCACGCGGAGAGGGAACGTGCGGGGACAGCACTACTGGTCGCGCAACAACTTCGGCGTATGTGGGTGTTATCGGAGGGGGAGGGGGACGTGGTACAGGCCCCAACGCGGCGACGACTTCTTCTTGGATCAGACTGCGGATGCCCGGTGGCGCGACCGGAGGGGATGGTACGTGGGGTACACGGGCGGATGTGCTCGTGCCCAGAATTCGCGTGACTTCTTCGCGAACGGCCTCGCGGATAAAACTGCGAAGGCTTTCGCGGGAAAACGGCGGATCATCTGGTGCTTGAGCAAGGCTCGCGATTGTGTGAACTGCGGTAGTTGAGCGCGGGACAGTCAGGCGTTGTTGGCGAATTTCTTGATAATTCTGACATGCCTCGACAAGCTTGCTCACCGTGAGGTCGCTTTGGGTGGCGAGGAGTTGGAATGCATCCTCAGCAATTCCCTTCAAGATATGGTTTACTTTTTGTTTTTCGGTCATGTCCGGGTTGGATCGTCGGCAGAGCTGGAGAACTTCTTCGATGTATGCCGTGAAGGTTTCATCTGGTTGCTGGACCCGGATGTTGAGTTTTCTTTCGGCGGTGAGCTTTCGAACGGCGGGTCTTCCAAATACCTCTTTGATTTTTGTCGTAAACTCCTCCCAGGTGGTGAGCACGGCCTCGTGGTTCTTGAACCAGAGGTTAGCAACGTCCGAAAGGTAGAAGACAGCGTTGTTTAGCTTGGTAGCTGGATCCCATTTGTTGTGTCGACTGGCTCGGTCGTAGGAGTCTAACCAGTCCTCTACGTCATCGTCGCCCGCACCAGAGAACCATTTCGGGTCGCGTTGCCGGAGTGCTCCAGCGCAGACGATGGTTGTGGGGGTGTCGGGTGGTTGGTCGGAGGTGGGATTGCCGACGGAGGTCGTTGAACCGGTCGCCATGCTAGTGGTTAGGACGCGGTTGCGGAGTTCCAGGGTGGTATCTGGTTACCGGAGCCGAAGATGCTTGAGGACGTGGAAAGCCCGCACCTCCACCACTTCTTAGATGGATAATGGAAGGTTGCTTTTAATGAATAACCGAGTGGGTTGAGGACTAGGTTCCAACTGATTCGGCCAGCGTGCGCCGCGTGAGTCGATGACGATCACGGTGGTTGTGAATGAAGACGATGACGAAGTATGAGCGTCAATCTTCTTAACAATATATATATATATATATATATATATATATATATATATATATATATATATATATATATATATATATATATATATATATATATATATATATATATATATGTATATATATATATGTATATATATATATATATATGTATATATATATATATATTTATATATATATATATATTTCCGTGTCTCTCACTAAAAAGAAACACAACACGATAGAAAATCATTCAAATTATAAAACCACAAGTTTGTATTTCGCTCAAAATGTACATAACACAGTAAACGCGTTCAAATGGCAAAACTAGACATATGCATCTCATTTCGTTAGCATGCAACCACACATACTGACAAGCGCTAAACGTTCTCAAAAAGCTCGAAGTATGGAATCACTTCGTTCCCCTCAACAGTTGGGTACAAGTCAAGCGCGTGGTATTCGAACTGTTCCATTGGGTTTAGCAGACAGTACTTGTTCATGTGAACTACCTTGTAACTTTGCCTGTGCCGGCAAAATCTGAGAGTGTGCAGTTTCTGGACAAAGATCAGGAGCGAGCCTCGAAACACGATCATGACAAATACTTGCGAGAACGCCGGCAGCTCGTCCTCCCAGCCGGTGCAGTAGGCTCCCTTCCGATAATGACACTTATCAAATGTCGCCGACACCACACTGTACATGGTCTCCCCTGAGGACGGTATCTCGGGAAACATTTCCCGAACATCTTCCTCCAGACTTTCCCACTTAAGTTTCTGGCTACCTGACGTGCTCAGCGGTTCGTCTAATCGAAGGCTCGAAAACTCGTAGCACTGCTTTGCCTGATACCGCGTGGCCACAGTCTTACAGATGTTTCTGAAATTTCGTGATCGGGTGGCAATGGTCTTTAAGTAGGCGTGCTTCGATTCGAAGCGCATGCTCCAGAAACGGCGTGGCGGTCCAAACATCCTAATAAATCTGTGATAGTGTACCAGGTAGTGCAACTTCGGTATTAGGTTCGATTCGGGATAACGACTCACAGATTTCCTAAAAAATGTGTCGATCAGAACTTCCAAGAAAGCAACGACGTCTTCAGGGATTTGATTGGCTAAAATAATATTCACAACTTCCCTGTACTTGAGATAAATCTCCCAGTGTACATTCCCCTCGGGAATGTCTTTACTGAGCAGCTGAGGAAGCAAACGAAACAGGCACAGTTTTTGGCTTGCGGTGCCTTTGAGTTTACCCTCCGCCTTGTTCGTGCAAGGTGGTTTTGACTTTTTGTCGTGATATCCAAACGGAAACTCAGAAATCGCATCGAAGCAACTAGGCTCAAGAATACGCGAGGATATAGGCCTCTTGAGTACATGCTTTAGCACAAACGCAATACCTCCTTCCAGCACATCGTGCATTGCGTCCGGAAGCAGCTGTGATGTAACATCAAATCCTGGGAGAGTCAGTAGCGGAGATTCTCCTTTCACGCCATACAGCTTGGCGCTCGCTGGATTTAAGTTAACAGCCTCTATGTGGCTTTTCTGTGTGTCCGCAGTGCGGATAACACAGAGGCGCTCGTTGGGAAGTCGCTTCAACTCCTTAGATGATGCTAGGCAGAATCTGCACACCTTTCCCTTCCCAAAGCAAGCGCTGAACCCCCCAATACGATGTAGCGAAAGGTTGTCTCTAACGACGCCCACAACAGTCACAGTCACGTGATGGTTGACCCCGTCATGACAGACGTCAAAGCCGCTCTCTCTCAGTAGAGATAAATCAGTAAGAAGCGGGTCCAAAATTGGCTGTAACCCGTAGGTTTTCACGTCTGCGTACTTCACTACAGCAAGGACATGCATAGAGGACAGTTGCGATCTGTACTTTGGGTGGAAATTAACAATGGAAAAATACACGACAAGTAACTTGTGAGTCCCGGCAGCTGACCCAAGGGGATTTACGATCTCCAGCTCGTCCGTATAAAGAAGAATTAAAATGCTGTCCTGGTCCCCATTGCGTATGAGCTCTTTAGTGAACTCCCCATCGGTTACGTCATGAAGCGCTCCCCCAGCTGACGTCACTACGTCCCTTGAACCAAAAATGTGTTCAGAGGCGTCAGTTGTCAACAAATTTGTGAGCAGGCTTTCAATCGGCACATAGCAAAAAGCAGACTTTGGGCAGTCAGGGCTCCCCAGATTGGCCAACTGAATTTCTCTATGCTCGACGTACAACATACGCTCTCTGACATACTTCATGCGCGCATGTTCGCTTCTCACATCTGTCCAAATGAAGTCAATGAGTTCATCGCCAAATAACAACCCAAGGGCGTCTGGCTGGCTAACCTCCAGAGTGGTCTCGACGTGGTCTCGAAGCATCCCATGAAGAAGCTGGAGAAAGGTTTTCAAGTCCGAAAATATGCTATCAGCTACAGTTCGGGCGATCTGATGTCCTTCTGTCATCTTCAGGTAGAAAAGGACAAGGTGCCTTTTCAACTCGTTCAGCTGGTCCGAAGCTGTACGGTGGCTTGACTCTGTGTTGTCGGTCTCCGGTTCAATTTCATCCTCAGTTGCTTGGGCGTCCTCGGGGGTCGGAAGATCCCTTCCGCGGACGTATTACGAGGTCGCTGCATTCTCATGAAGTCGGCGTGTTTCCGGTACATGTGCCTTCGAAAGGTCTCCAACGTCTCGAATTAAGCGCAGACCGTATGGCGCGTTTTTGCTCGCGATTCAGGCGCGTCGGCGTCAAACTGACGTCATTTCCTGCGCGCGGGCGCGCGTTTTCGCGGGAGCGCTTCGCGGGAGCCGACCCAGAACAAGCCGCGCGCGCCGAGGCGTCGAAGCGGCTCTCGCCCAATTGACCCCGTAAGTGATGACGTCACAACTTGGCGTCTGGGTCCAAACAAACCGTTGCTAGGGGCGTTGCTATGGACTAATGCATGGAGACTCCACACGAGGCTAGATTTTCGCTTATAAGTAAGTAAATAAGTTTTTGTAAGCAACCTAACTTCTTGATATCTAATTATGAAGATGTTCTTGTCATCTCAGCGTCGTATTGCAACGATGAAAGCCATTTCTGAAGTGTTCCACTCCACTTTGCTTTGGTAGCAGACGACACGATAGATTTGTTGGCCTCTGTTGCAGCGGGCGTCTTCATTGAATTGCGTCGGTAAACGAGCAACACAAACAAGTGCATCGCCCTGACCGCAGAGGCTTCCGCAATATGCGTTTTTTTCTGTGAAGAACCCAGCTTAGTTCAGAGGGGCGAAAATTCCGTAAAATAAAACCACGTCATGCAGATCAGTTATGACGACGACCTGAAGTGCATTACCGGCGTAGTGCAGGCCAGCATAAGAAACAAATCGTACGCCATCGAGATAAGTCGTTTGTTATTATTATTATTGAGGTTGTCAGGTTATTAAATTATTGCATGTCTGTCGCAATTTCCCAATTTTTTTTTTTTTTTGTATAGATTAAATTTAGTGGATGTGCCCTTTCAGTGAAGATGTCCATCGAACCCGGGATGAGAGTACAATCTGTAATAAACTCACCTTATGTTTTTTATCCAGTTCTTTCGCGTTTTGGGGTTTTGCGGAAATCTGAAGAAACTGCAAGAATCTTTCTCCACGCGATGGTTAGAATCAGATACGAAGCACCCTCCCATAGCGCGAGTCCGCAAACAAAATTTGGGATCTCTACCGATCGCCTGAAGTGCTTTTCTCACGGGTGCATTGCGATCTTTTAGCAGCCGATCATCTCGATCGACGCCCGGACTTTCGATAAACCATATTTTGCATCGCACGGTCGCACCCCACTATGAATTCTTATAAGTGTCTGAAACTCATTATATTTCAAACAAATGCAATATCAGAATATCGTCTTTATTCACAAGACTCAGACGCCGGCGCCGGCTTGGCCGGCGGGCGTGTGGCAGACGGCATTCTTCTTGCATTCGTCGTCTGCTCCAGGCATCTTGAGGACCGGAAGTTGCAGTCGTAAATATTTCAAAAACAAGCGATTACCGGCACACTTCTGTCGCAACATATATGACATTCAAGCTTTCTGTATCTGTAATTTTTAGAAGTTTAAATCCTACTCCCGATTTTTGAACGGTCGGGTTTTCGTAGCGAAACCTAGCCACATGTATTTGTCCATAACAACGACCCTAGCAACGGTTTGTTTGGACCCATGACGTCACACTTACGGAGTCAATGAGGGTCGGTCGAACTATCACGTGATCCTGCACAGTACGCTGTTTCGTATTCAGCACGTTTTAAAGTGTTCAGAAGCATTTTTATTTTCCATATAAAAATTGAAAATGTGTTTCTTTTGACACACAAATCCGTTTTATATACTTATTTGTTCATTTAATTATCATTTTGTAGTATTTGGGTCAACATTTACATCGCGTGTTGAGAATTCTGTTATCTGGCAACGCTGATAACGCGCGGCCGGCGGTGCTTGGCTTTGTCTGCATGCGGGTGCCGCCGCGTCAGCTTCCGCGCGAGCGTTCATAGCGCGTCGCGTTTTCGCGTGTAGAAAAACGCGCCATGCGGTCTGCGCTTTAGAGTGCCTTCATGCGCGCTTCGCATAGAGTGATGCCAACTGCCTGTTTCCCTTTCCCACACCCTCTTCCACCGCCATTTTGTTTCCCTCATTGTTTCCCCGTGCGCCGGAAAGTGGCCTTTGTGTCCATCGGTGATCCCATCCGAGGGGGAAAATTCTAATCCTCCCTCCGTGGGTTCCACAACGCTGCTCCGAACTTCTGAGATAAGGTGCTTGTTTCCGGGAGGGTTATAAGCCCCACGGATTATCGCCGAGGAACAAAATGGCTGCTGGTTTGTCGGCGAGTGGTATTACAAAGGGTGGCATCACCCTAGCAAAGCGCACATGAAGGCTCCCTATCTCGAATGATTTCGGGCACCCTTGAACTCCACATTCGATTTTAAAATTTGGCTCGTTCGAATGAACTTGCCCGATGTGAGCGATAACTTTGCTGAAATCTTTGTCGAAAAAAGCGCAGTTTGAGCAGTAAAACGGCATTTTGAGTTGTAGATGTTCAAGTCACAGCCTGACTACTGAAAAGGGAAAATATTTTTTTTTTCTCGTCCCTTGTATTTGTGAGTAACTGCAGAGTGAACAAAACAGGACATACGAATCTCCTGATCCAGGATAAAAAAGAAAGCCTCTCCCATAGGGCGCTAAAAAAGCAGGAAACAAATATGCAGGCATCTGAGTGCTCGCGAGTTGGTTCAGCCGCGCCCGTTTCGCGAGGAGCGAAAGTGGTACGGTCAAATCCGGATTACAGCGCTTGGGTGTAGCTGGCTTCGAAAAGAAACGCTGCCTTCTCAGTGCGCTCCCTCGATTACGTGTTAGCACATCCATCGAGCCAGTACATCCATCGAGTCATTACATCCATCAATGGATGTAATGGCTCGGTGGATGTACGGGCTCGATGGATGCATTGACATGCGTATGGATGTAGCTGCTCGATGGATGTAGTTGCTCGTTGGATGTAGTTGCTCGCTGAATGTAGTGGCTCGGTGAATGTAATTGCTCGCCGTTCCTGTTATCATGTCTAGCGTGCCATTACATCCATCGTGCTAGTACATCCATAGAAGCCAAGGTGGCCGCCGTGGGGCCGCAACTATATTTAAGCTGATTACTTTGTTTGCGTTATTCATATTCTTATTGGTTCGGGAGCCTCAGCAAACAAAGGGTAAGCCACAGAACATTAGTGAATCACAACTGAACTCAACGGGGCCTTCAAACTTTTTTTTTCTTGTCGATAAGCGAAATAAAAAGTAAGATTATGTGTACCGTCCTAATCCCCTATTAAAGTAGTTTACTGTAGAAGATTTAATTTTCGCGATGTCCTAATATTCGCGAGGACCTGAATATCACGATTTGATCAAATTCGGGAAAAATTGGTCACTTGAATAAGTCACCCCATGAATACGAATACATTGCGTATATCTCCCGTTCACTAAATGTTCTGCCCGCGAAATTTCCGAAACCGGCCCTTCGCAAAATGTCGAGCCCGCGAAATTAAACTCGTTTCTATTGAGTTAATTATGAAAGTTAAAGAGCAGTAACTAATGTTTCATACATGTGGAAACAACAAACAAGGAAAATAACGCCTTGTCATTAGGATCGGCTCCCAAAGGCGGAAGTGCTGGCGAATGCGCAAAGCGGGCATACGGCGGCCACGTCGGGCCCAAACACTTTCGAGACGGGTTCGCGGAGTGTCTTCATATGTCATGACATCCATACTCCCTCTTGATAATTTCAAGTTCGAGCTCCGTTAAATCCGGTAAATTCATCAGGACTGGGGGAGGCTCGTGTGGCTTCGGTGAGGCCGACGGCCGCACAAAGTGCATGACACACAATGGGTAATTTTACTTGGTTGTGTGCACTTAATTAGGCGTATAACTCCTGATATGATATGAACTATCGAAAAATATATGGCTCGTTTGCTGCTGCGTTCACTGAGGTCGGGCTCAGGCCAAGATGACAGGCATGCTAAGCGGGTTCGCTCTTTGATATTTTGCTTTGCAGGCACTTTATGGTGAAATTGCACCACGCAAACCATGTTTTGAAATGTACAGATAGCAGAAAAACCTTCTAGGCTTGAGTATAGAAACTCCGAACATATTCAGGACTGCCAAATTTGCCTGGGATAAGGCTACACCGCTCCCCACACCAGTATATACACTCTAAAAAAAAGGGGGTGTAGACGTTACACCCCTTGTCACATATACGACACCCCAAAACTTCAGTTCGACGTACAGCGCGCTCACGTCGTACTGACTGCCCCAGCTTTTGCGAGGTGCTTGAGAACGGTGAGATATAACATATTAAGCAGCTAACGTACGTACCAAAGTCTTCTAGAAGAAAACACACAGGTTTTGCATTTGAGCCTAGAAAACCCCGATAACTTTTTTTGCCGTCAGTCACAATTTCATATAACTATTTTGATGAGTTGTACAACTCGGCTATAAAGCCGCTCGTGAAATTTGGTAGCGTCGATACAACGACAGTGCGCTGTACATCCAACTGAAGTTTTGGGGTGTCGTATATGTGACAAGGGGTGTAACGTCTACACCCCCTTTTTTTTAGAGTGTATCGTGTTGGCGCAATGCTGTGAGTTATCCGTAAATGGTATTCCTTGGACGGCGCCAAAAGAGTGCACTACCCGATCAAATTCACTGAAGTATATAATGCATGCACTAGTGGTTCATACCTACAAAGATATAGTA